TTGCAGCTTCAAGCAGGATAGTGTGCCATGTCGGAAAGCTCAAATCATCTCAGACTGGTTCTTTGGACAATGAGGTCACTGAATTCAAATGGCTCCCATAGTCACCAGATCTCTATTCAATAGAGCTCCTCATGGATGTGGTGATATGGAAGATTTACAGAAAATTTGCAGCAACTGTGTGATGGTGTCATGTCAATAAAGGCCAGGATTGTTGAGGGGCCAAGGATGCTGTATCTGGAACACAGCTCATGCAACAAACTCAAAATCATCAGTTTACTGTCCATAGCAATTTACTCTCTACCGTTCACCTTTAGGATATTACTAGGATATGATTACTAGGATTCTTTCAAACTGAAAAGAAGGAAAAATGTCATTCATACTTATCTGCAGTTTAACATGTATAGTAAACGCCAGTATCACAAAATTCCGTTCCAAGCTGAGTAAAGCAGATGTTCTTTCTTTTCATCAACATCTCTAGCAGTGTAAAAATGGGCTGACTTGGCTTATGATTAAAAACTAGCGAATCGACAACCTCAAGCAAAGTACAACAACAAAAGAGCAACATGAAAGAGGTGCCATTCTCCCTCTTACACATCAGTGTAACATCAAAACACATTTCAAGCTGCTATTTTAAGGCAGTCAGTAGGTGCATTTAAAACTACATAAAAATTCATCTTAGTCAGTGCACATATAAATGAGAGCGTTAGAAGTTTTCCAAAAAAAAAACAAAATTGTACCAGATCCTGATGATTTGCTGATGATTTGCTGTTTACAGCACTTCAGATTTAGGTTTGTGATGCTGACAAAAGCAAAAACCAGAAACAGACACTTGGCATTCAGCACATGTGGACTTTTCCTTTGGAATCAATTTTAAATACTGTACAATACATAAATATCCGTTTCACTGCCACTTATTGAAGTAGTGTAGCCGCTCTGTCTCAGCTATCCAAGCTCACACTGGATGAGGAGCAGGATACGACTGCCAGTCCAAAACAGCACAAAAGTAGCTTTCAAACAGGATGATGATATGGACCATGGGCAGTCAACAAAGTGTAACACACTGCAACTTCAACCAATGCATGCTTGAAAGACCAGCTAACAAAGGCAAGTCATCATTTGGGGAAGGCAAAATAAAGAAAATATTGATAATGTGTTCCTGAATTCACTGAATCATATAACACAAGTATGGAAACACTTTTAAATCCAAGTGGAAATGTCAGCTTTGTGTTAACACTGTAAGTAAAGGCATTTAGCATCTGTTCCTCCAAATAACTCTACAGCTCTTTTAAACTCTTTAGAAATGAGAGACAAAGGTACAGAAACCAAATGACACAAAATTTCCATAAATTTATACCATATTATTAAATTTACTAGTATACATTACTAGTACAATTATAATATATTCTTACTGTATATGACTATTTTCATTTTTTGTATTTTTGAACTACTGGGTTGATACTGTATTTATATATTTTTTAACTTATATATGTTATAGGTTTAGTGTATCTTAACGGATATGAATATAAAAATATTAGATAAATAAAAATAAGCCAGCCTAGCATATTGAAAGACTGAAACACTGCAGGTCTACAGTACATTTTCACATGAACAGGACATACCGATTAAAAAAAAAAAACAACCTTTTGAATCATGGGCGTATTAGAAAAAGTTTTTAAGACTTGGTACAAAGTCCAGCAGCTCGATAGCTGACATTCCAGTGTACAATCGGGCTGTTTCATCCAACAGCTCAATAGCTAACATTCCAGTCTACAGTACACAATCAAGCCATCTCATTCTACCATGAGACAGGCTGAAGTTTTCATTGTCTCAGGGTGGTTATTAGCCCCAGAGACAGACAGAGCCAGCCAAGAGAGGAGTTAGGGCTGTCTGTCAGCTTATAATGTCTCCACACAACAGCCCAAACCTAAACTGACAGGCACACACCACACTGACAGCCCACCAGCACCACGCTATTGTTCCCTCGCAAATGGCCAGGACGCACCTATCAGTGCCCACAGAAACAGCGTGAGGCAGAAAGAAAACACGCAGAGACATCCATATACTTTAGGTCAAAGCAGTTCACGTGAGCAACATTAATGTAACATTTTAATCAGAAGACAGAAGACTAAAATGCACTATCACAGTAATCACAGTTTTATAACTAGCTAACATACTGAACGTTAATGTTAATGTGGTGGCAAAACTGAAACACTGTGTAAACTAAAATGACTGCCAGCTCTTTTGAGAGATGGACAAGAGAGCTTATACTATTTATATTGAATATTTCTGTGTAAAATAAATGCACATTATAAAGTGTTAGTGGTATACAGCAAAATAGGCTCTTTTAATGCAGTCAAACGCTTTTGCTATGTGCAATCACTGACATCATTTTATTTTTCCCCAGTCTACCTGTTATGACATCTGTTTATTATAACCTTATTTTGTTTCCACAGTACATCGTGTGATTCTGTGCTTTAGACCTGAAAATTCAGTTTGACATTCCCTTAAAGTTTGGAAATATCCTATAATCAGCTCTTACAAATCAGCTCTTTGCTCCTTCTATATTTCTGGAAAGCAAACAGGGAGACAGGAATTAATGAAAGAAACGGCTGAAATAAACTAGAACTATATCATTGTATTATTTAAAAATTGTATTTATTAATTCGTTTTTTGTGAAGAGAAGCCTTCACAAAATTCCTAAACAGTCACACCTGCATTGCAGGCAAAGGGAAGAAACGGCATTGTGTTCATAGTAGTGGTGCTGGACAGAGAACGATGGGCTCCAGCTATTCTCCTTAGAGCAGGATTGCTTATGTAACTTTAATGCACTTTAGTTATAATTACATAAAGTTATATTCTTAACATTAATCCTATTTTCTCATCCTCTGTTACTGCATAATGATTATTGGCAAATGACGCTGCAACTGAGGCTATATTCCCCAACCAAAATAAGAAATAAAAAACAGAACAGGGAAATGGAAAACGAGATTTTTAGGTCCTTTCACCAGAGTCAGAATCAAATGTATCAGATTTCCACCACATGCAATCCACTTTAAATCTTTACATTCAGCAGCAGTTAGCTACCTGTGTAGCCAACACAACAGTTACTTGTACCAGGAGCTTAAATGGAATTTTATGGTAAGAAGAATTAATCTGGACTGGGGCTGCAGCGCTTGCAGGACCCTGCAAGGGAGCCTTTGGGCTTTGTTACCATTAGTGCCTTACAATGACCCAACCTGCTGCTGCACTCGTTCATCCAGGAGTGGTCGATGGACCCCTGCGGGGGATGCAGCGAGATGATGTAATTTTATTGACGTTATAAGATAAAAAGAACTCAGCTTTTACTTTTCTCTTGCGCTTGAAAGCCTGTGACCAATAATACCCTTAATGTCCCAGCATGTAAGGCAGAAGGACTCATCAGACACTTTTGCATTTGCTTTTTAACCCTACATACAGAGAAGAACCCAACAATCATATGACCCCCTATCAGCATGCACTTTGGCAACAGTGGGAAGGAAAAACTCCCTTTTAACAGGAAGAAACCTCCAGCCATAAAGAGTCCAACTTCCAAATAACTACATTTTATTCACAAATTTTTGCTTAATTTTGCTGCTGTAGCCACAGAGCCCCTGATTTCTGAGAAATTCAGTGATTTAAAAGGTCTTTTTTCTAAACACTACCCTTTTTCTACATTTCAGCTATACTTTACTAAATCAAAGCTAAATACTTGTTTTGACACAACAGAGCAGAAACACTGTGGACTGCAGAGACACAAGCACGAGTCATCAGAACGGAAACTAAAAAAATCTAAAAACAAAAGTCTGAATATGATCTGGTCTGTATATGATTGGGTAAAGATTTTGGCTTTTATAGGCTGGTTTTCAGAACCTTTTATTCACAAATTCATCCATATAAGAGTTTACATGATGAATGGAAAAATTGAGGATAAAAATAAGGTCTTGTGCTGATTATAAATGTCTGAAAAATGCAGTTCTCAGTCACGTATTGCACCAAGTAAACTCCAAGTGAATGAATGAATATCATTTATAGACGGCAGGTTGAATTCTAATTCAGGATGAAGCTATGCAATTTGCAGTTGAATCCTTCCACGCCACCTTATAGTTGCTGGGACTAATCCCAAGATGTAAAAATCACTGTTCCTTTAAGAATTGCAGTACATAAATGTATGAAAAAATGCCTTTTGGTAGTCCAGCATATAGCTATAGGAAATTATATATTATATTGACAGACATCCAAGCACACACACACACACACACACACACACACACACACACACACACACACACACGCACCACACACACGCACAGCACGCTCAAGAAAACCTGTCAGCTGTGTCCTTTTATGCACTCTTCTCTATCTGCGCTATTTTTCACTTTTCCCACACACACACGCACACACGAAGAAGAAGAGCTGAGACAACAGCTCGTCCTCCCAGTGTGCTATCCAGTGAATGCCTTCCAAAAATATCCGATCCCCTAAAGGCATAGTTCAGTCAAAAGAAGTTTGCTGATGGTTTCCAAAGGAATCTGATTTCATGCAGTGGCTAGCATTAAAAGCTGTCAATATGCATCTGGTTTAATAAGCAGAAAGATCATAGATAATAATGCCGAGACATGATGTGGAGATGGGAGTGTCACTGTGGTGCTGCACGTTCATCTTTGAAAATGCGTGTTTGCTCAGCGTGCGTGTTGGTGTGTGTGAGCAATATTTCAGCTTGTTCTTCGAGCAACCTGTCATTAATCTCACAGTATGTTGTAATAACCCTCGAACCTGCACGCCTCAAATGATGATTATACCATATACACTGTTATGGTCTAAAATTGGTGGTTTTTATTTATACTTTTGATGTGTCGTGCCACTAGAACTTTTAATCCAACATAATGGGAAAGGATCATATGAAAAGATAGGAAAATAACACTGACACTTCAAAAACGGAGTGGGTGAGAACCCACAGAGAATCCGTATGATGGTAATCCTACCTTCTGTCGAATCTCTTCTTCCATCTTGATGGGGGAGCCAAACTCAGCCACTTGACGGACTCCCTCACTGGCATAGCCTCCGTACTCCCACAGCACATAACTTCTGGAGTGGGACGCACCAATCAGAGCTGACCAGTGGTTGGCACGTCCTACAACACAGGAAGTCAGGAACACTCGTAACTCACTGAAGCTTATGACAACATGTTTATGATTTTTTTAAAAGAAAACTTTTGTTTCAGTTCTTTCATTCACTCATCCTGACTCTGTGCTCATGTTTAACATCTTTAATTTATTTCTACTAGCAGTTTCAGTTACCAGAAGTTACCACAATTGGTTAAGTTACAGTTGTACATGCGTTATCTGTTGGACTGTATACAGAGACTTAGTGAAATCTCGTCATTTACCACAAGGAAACCTTTATAAGCCAAATACTATATAGACATACAGTGGGGCAAAAAAGTATTTAGTCAGCCACCGATTGTGCAAGTTCCCCCACTTAAAATGATGACAGAGGTCAGTAATTTGCACCAGAGGTACACTTCAACTGTGAGAGACAGAATGTGAAAAAAAAATCCATGAATCACATGGTAGGATTTGTAAAGAATTTATTCGTAAATCAGGGTGGAAAATAAGTATTTGGTCACCTCAAACAAGGAAAATCTCTGGCTCTCACAGACCTGTAACGTCTTCTGTAAGAAGCTTTTCTGTCCCCCACTCGTTACCTGTATGAATGGCACCTGTTTGAACTCATCATCTGTATAAAAGACACCTGTCCACAGCCTCAAACAGTCAGACTCCAAACTCCGCCATGGCCAAGACCAAAGAGCTTTCGAAGGACACCAGGAAAAGTATTGTAGACCTGCACCAGACTGGGAAGAGTGAATCTACAATAGGCAAGCAGCTTGGTGTGAAAAAATCAACTGTGGGAGCAATCATCAGAAAATGGAAGACATACAAGACCACTGATAATCTCCCTCGATCTGGGGCTCCACGCAAGATCTCATCCCGTGGGGTCAAAATGATCATGAGAACGGTGAGCAAAGATCCCAGAACCACACGGGGGGACCTGGTGAATGACCTGCAGAGAGCTGGGACCAAAGTAACAAAGGTCACCATCAGTAACACACTACAACGGCAGGGAATCAAATCCCGCAGTGCCAGACGTGTTCCGCTGCTGAAGCCAGTGCATGTCCAGGCCCGTCTGAAGTTTGCCAGAGAGCACATGGATGATACAGCAGAGGATTGGGAGAATGTCATGTGGTCAGATGAAACCAAAGTAGAACCTTTTGGTATAAACTCAACTCGTCGTGTTTGGAGGAAGAAGAATACTGAGTTGCATCCCAAGAACACCATACCTACTGTGAAGCATGGGGGTGGAAACATCATGCTATGGGGCTGTTTTTCTGCCAAGGGGACAGGACGACTGATCCGTGTTAAGGACAGAATGAATGGGGCCATGTATCGTGAGATTTTGAGCCAAAACCTCCTTCCATCAGTGAGAACTTTGAAGATGAAACGAGGCTGGGTCTTCCAACATGACGATGATCCAAAACACACCGCCCGGGCAACAAAGGAGTGGCTCCGTAAGAAGCATTTGAAAGTCCTGGAGTGGCCTAGCCAGTCTCCAGACCTCAACCCCATAGAAAATCTGTGGCGGGAGTTGAAAGTCCGTGTTGCTCGGCGACAGCCCCAAAACATCACTGCTCTCGAGAAGATCTGCATGGAGGAATGGGCCAAAATACCAGCTACTGTGTGTGCAAACCTGGTAAAGACCTATAGTAAACGTTTGACCTCTGTTATTGCCAACAAAGGTTATGTTACAAAGTATTGAGTTGTATTTTTGTTATTGACCAAATACTTATTTTCCACCCTGATTTACGAATAAATTCTTTACAAATCCTACCATGTGGATTCATGGATTTTTTTTTCACATTCTGTCTCTCACAGTTGAAGTGTACCTCTGGTGCAAATTACTGACCTCTGTCATCATTTTAGGTGGGGGAACTTGCACAATCGGTGGCTGACTAAATACTTTTTTGCCCCACTGTATGTCATCTAAACCTTCATAGAACACAGACTTGTTTGTTGTGTCTATACCAGTGTACTTACACTTGCCAAGTTGTGAGTGTATAAGGCAAGCATATCCTAAAGCTGAGTTATAGGAATGCTATACACTTCATATCCTCAGTGGCTGCCATCTGGGCTACACATCAACCACATTTCAGACATCAAGATGAAGACAGTGCTAATTCTACCTACCTAGCTAAAAGTGATTTTTATCAAGCAGAACATGTAAACTGGATTCAAACCCAGCACCTTCCACCTATTTATTCACTTATTTATTTACTGTGAGCTGAACTTAAAAAAAATGTCAAAATGTCAAATTATCAAACAGTTTTTTTTATCGTTTCTGTCATCACGCTGCCATCTTACAATACTTTTATACATTTTTCATGCAGACCTACAGAGCATTTCCAGGTACCACAGTGCACTGTGTACATGTATGCATCAGTCAGAAGATGTTGAGAAGCTGAACTCACTTGGATAATCTTTAGGATGTACTTTCTCCGACCAGTTTCCATAAAAGGTGAGTCTGTACTTGGCGGTTCCACAGGCACAGCACTCAATGGCAGGAGCTTGCGTAGCTTCACCCTCTACGAGGAGACAGAATGCGACGATGACAGCACAAACAAAATGACACTCGGGTGTAAAAATTTAAGGTTAATCGGGACGCAGGGCCCTGATTAATCCTAAAAAACACATTTCTGGAGTAAACAAACAGACAGACCGACGTGCAAGGTTTGATATAAATGCACACCTGCATAAATTACCTGGCGACTGACAATTTGGAATCACCGAGAATGACACAAAATTACATCCCCGGAATAAACCGGTATTAAAATGACACATTAGCTTTAACTCAGGCTTATAAATATTCAGATTTTGCCCAGGACCAATGTTTTGCAAAGGTAGGTCAAGGGGATTTCTTGAATATTTATGAATCACCAAAAAAAGAAAGCCTCACTTGACATCTAAGTTATAGCAGGATGACTCACAACACCTAACTTACGTCAGCAAATTGAAACAGGGCGGCTTGATTGGCTTGCATAATAGCCTGGAAAATTAGATTTCGGAGAGGTAAGGAGGATTTTATGAAAGTAAAATTCCCCTGAGATTAAGTTTGAGAAACCACTCGTCCAGGCTCTCTTTTTTTATTGTACAATAAATGTGTGCATCAGAGCTGAGAGAGTCCTGACGCCTTATTGTCTCGCAAGAGCGCAGTGTTTATCAGGCTGGCTGTGAGCTTTAGGAAGCTAGAGTGCCATTTTTCTCTGCAATGAAATCACAGGTAGCATGAAAGCAACGGCTGGACTCTGCAGTGAAACAGAAAGCAATTTTTAAATTCCCATGACATCCAGGATTTGTTGTCCTCACAATTTTCCCCAGCTGGCTTTGTTGGTTTGAGATTTTTTTAAATATAGTATGAAATAAAGGGAGGTAATGTGCTCCAAAGACGGAGGGGGGGTAAACTACACGTAGAGCACAGGACACTAGCAACATGATACGCAATCAAGAATGAAAAGAAAGACTGGATGGGCAGCTGTTATTACCTTTCTCGCACAGTTGCACGGTGAGAGAGCCTTCATCCTGGAAATAGATGACTCTCTTCTGGACAATACTCGCCCTGGAGACACAGAGAGACATGTAGTGAGAAAGGCAAAGAAGCAGAAGAAAAGTGAAAGAAAACGGAGAGAAAGTTTGATTGTAGGAGGAGTGCAATAAGAGTAGTAGATGGTTAATAGGTGACCGCTGTGTTTTTTCCACTACGTGATCCATTTAATCTTCAGCGGAAGGGGGAGGGTAATGGGCTCCCCGAGGTTAGACAGGGAGTACACATCTTTTCACAGGAGCAACGTCCTATTCTCCAAACCCCATGATATAGTCATCCTGCTGCAATATGAAATGTATCACAGCAATCATGCCCATGGACATGAAGAAGAGAGAGCAGGGATTACAGTCAGAGAAGGAATATAGATCTTTCCATGGATTTTAGATGAAGCCCGGTTCTAAGTTATGAGCTAATACTGGCTGAAAATGAAACTCCCCCAGTGAAAATAGGCTGTTTTACCAGTACTATTTACATTTCTCTTTAGGAGAAAGGAACTGCATTACTCACACTGCACAGATAAAACTCTGTGTGCTCTGGCACTGCTATTGAATCTCTGAGGAAAAGGACAGGAAAATAGGATGAAGAAATTGTTGGAGGAACACTAAGGCATGATGGTCTTACAACACTTTTGCAATAGATTTGCAACAGTTATATAGAGTTTGAAATCATTCCTATGCTCTTATATATTTAGTACAGCTTTTCATAGATGAAAAATTGACTATCACGAACACCAAGCTGCTGCAATTACATTTGCAAACTACGAGTTAAGACACGTTTTATCCTTGATAAACTTGTTCTTCCCAATAAAACTCGCTAAACTTACTTTTCCAATGTCTTGGTCTCTGGAAGGGCATCTATCTCACACTGGGTGTGTTTTCACACAGCTAAACTACTGGTCTGTGAAATGGTCCAGTGCAGCATAAAAGGACATCTTCGTAGGCAGGAACAGGTCAGAACAGATCAACACATGGTTATGGTTAAAGAAGCTCTCACACAACCTGCAAGTGACATTTTAAAGAAACTGTTCTGACCAAGGTGATCATTAACTGGAATAATTCACAAGACCCTTCTAAAGAGCATAACTTGCCAGAAAAAGCCAAAAAAAGATATCAAAAAGTTAAGAAGCATAACTGCTTTATGTAGTTTATTATGAGAGGATAAGAAGGTTGATTATCTCTCCAGACATACAGATAATTGAATTAACAATGTTTATGTATTATATAAAATTTATATATAATTAACTAAATCACTATAGTTTTGCTCATCAATGGCTTTACATACATATAATAAATGTACTCGAAGGAACCAGTTGCCAAAAAGAATGAGACACATCATTTAAGACACACTACCCTTGACTTGAGAGGCAAATAAATAAAAAATATATATAATTAGGCATATTGTTGACAAAAGGTCATTGTTAACAAGTACAGAGTAATGAATACCAATGTCAAATTTCAAATTGCATTTAAATATTTGATTACAGTAACTCTGATTTTCTGAAAACCAGAAAATCTTCCTGGTCAAATTTTGAAGGACAGGAAAAAGAATGAGAACTGCCTTGATGATCTTGAGTCCTGTGACTTTGCAGTGCTTTTTCAGTAATTCATGTTTGTATTGCTTGCACATAAAATAAATCACTGGATTAGTTATAAGTTATAAGCTTCATAATTTTTCTCTGACTAAAAAAACCCAGAACGACTACATTTTAATGGAAATTGTGTCAATCGGATGCAGAGGCTTTTAAATTATAAAATGTAATTACTTGCATTAAGTTTGTGGGTCTTTTCTTTAATGTCTGATTTTAGGGTCTTGGTTTTAATATCTGCTCGTTAGGTAGGTATTCAGGTTTCAATTTGGGGATTTGGATTTTTTCCCTCTAACCTTTCCACTCGATATCCATAACGTTGACACTAAATGCAGCCATTTTTCATACCTCTTTCATACAAAAAGGTCTAGCAGAAAACGAATGGACGGTATGTTACTGCTTTGCATTAACCTCTTCCTAACCAGGGATAGTTTTGTACTCTCCAGCGAGGCTTCAACAGAGACACAGAGAAGTGGTGTAGAATTTGAGAAAAACAAAAAAAGATTTGTTTTGTGTGTGTGTTCAAATACCCCCACAGCCCCACAAATATGATTTTCAAAGGCCAAAAATCACACACGTCAAGAACCTCATAAAAAAGCAACACATGTTGATTGCATAGATTGTCCTGAGAAAATGAACCAACTTGATTGTGCATTATGGGACTGAAATTATACAAGCTTCCCCCCTACACACGGAGGTAATCAAGCTTCAGTCATGAAGCCTAAGGTTCTGCAGATATTATGCAATTACACAGCATACACCCATTATTATCCTAAATAATGTCTCACAGTAGCAGGAATTTCACAGCGACTCCACCTCATATTGTAGAGAGACATAAACCGAAAGAAAGTGAGCTGAACAACAGTGACGGTGGAGACAGAGGAGGGACGGGCGATATTAAGTAGGAGTTATCGGTTATATTGCTCCTATAAATCTTACACAGGCTGAATGGTGCAATATACCCTGCAACACGGGTTGACTGCCTGGGCATGAAATTGAAAAACAAAAGTGAAATATGCTGACTATTATTTAGGTGCCCTTGACAGATTTAAAGTAAATGTGTTAATAGTTTGACTGGCATTAATTATCAGTTGGTTAGATGTATAAACAACAATATATCTGATAATATGAAAAGATACATTTTAACTTGCCTCCAGCTACACTTTCCTCACTTTATAATATCCTCCCTCTACTAGACGTACATCTTCAGTGCAATCAAGTCTGCATGTTTATTCAATTTAGTTGCGAAATTTTGTCAATTTCAGGCCAGTGCAAGCTCAGAAAAGAGCACTAGAGATGTGTGGGTGGAAACAAGTTGTAACACTGTTGCTGCTTTTCCCGCCGGTCCTAAAAAGGTCAAAGATTACCAAATACAACATTCCAGCAGTGTACAAATAGGGGCTATATGGTAGAATACACACTATAGGCACCGGATGAAAACTGTTGCAACGTATCTGCTGGACAATTTATGCAAAAAGCTAAAACTACTGTCGGTAGCTGAATGATGACATTTTTTCAACGTCACCTGTTTAGTTAACACGTGTAGTTCTGCTGTTCTTTGCGTACCACAATTATTAACACGCCTTACAGGCAGGTGGCACAATAGTGTCGGTCTTTGTCATACGTTTTACGTGAATAAAACATTTTAATTTTTTTTAATGGGAGTGACCTTTTAAGTCTGGACTCCTGCAGCAATTATGTTACGGCCTTTCTAATGATCAACAGTCTCTTTCTCCCTTTATGTTGCTGAAGGTTTTTTCCTTCTCTTGTCTTCCATGTTGGGTCTTTGTTCATTCTTGGCTCCCTTTCAGGCTACTTCCAGTTTTATTTTGAAGTCTTCTTTATTACCTTTCTCTTCCTAGTGCGTTTTTTGTCCGTTCCCTGCAGCCCCATAGGCTGTCTACTGAACTACCTCTTATTTTTGCATTCCCCATTGAGTTTAGTTCAGGCTTCCTATTTGTCATTTCTCTTGTTTTTCTTTGGCTTTTCTTTGTTCTCAGGTTTTTACGTCACCTTTGTGCAGGTTGTGTTTAACACCTTTTGAAATTAGGGGCAGTCTGCCTTCTTCCTTCCGTGTGGCTCATTGAAAGATGATTCTAACACCACACTGGCACTTGTGAATACTGCAGAAGTGAGCATTTCTGTTAGTGAGAAAGTTTTACTTATGGGTTACACATCCGCTGACCTTTAAGCAAAAAAATGAAGAAAAAAAATCACTGATGCACACAGTCTGCATTTTTGCTACAGTTTCCAGCCTTCTATACTCCTGTCTGGCATTTCCTTTTCCTTCATCTCTCTTCTCTTCAGGTTTCTTATTAATCATACTTCTAATGTCTGCTCACTCTTCTTCTGGGAGGCTTTCGTTGGCGCTCCCCGCTGAATCTTTGGTATGCTGTTTCGATTCATGTGGGGAGAGCCCCAGGTGGCAAAACCAATACATACAACTGTGCAACTGTTCACACAAAAATATCAATTTCACTGCATGATAAATGCTCGATAGAACAATAACAAACAACACAGAAGTAAGGAGAGGAAACTCAACTTAGATGAAAAGATCAAGAATCAATTATCCTGTTCAGTTCTACTCTGAGCATTTATTCAACTATAAGCAAAAACTGTGTATGTGCAGGAAACAATCCAATAAAATGTAAGGCATAAGTTACATAATGATGCATTTATGTTTGCAAATAGGAAGCTGTTAATTGATGAACAAGGATGAGAGCGAATCCATAAAAATATGAATTAACCATTCAGTGCTTGTTCTCTTTTATTAAACGTTTGACGAAACATCGTTTTGTACAAGAGTAATTATGTTACAGTTTGCAGATAAGCGACTATGAATCGCATTGGGTGCACCAGGAATCAATTTTTAATTATATAAGGCTGCATTTGTTGGTTTGTTTAAAGTGGAAGTGAAAGCAAAAAACATGTCTGTAAATTGAGTTCAACTTAGTAATTTAAAGGGTAAGAAAAACGCTGGAGGGCATGTCAAAGTGGGTAAGTTCATTTCATACACTTAACTCCACAACTCTAATGCCATCATTATGTTTTATGGGGACCTCTGGCCAATTTAAATGCCCATTGTATTAATGAGAAATTAAGTGTTGTTTTTGAGCTGTGTGTTACATGAAGCACATTACAGCGAGGATCGTAACTGAAGACGATCCTTGACTGCACTATGGTGGATCTGGTGAACTCAGGGAATAACCAAAAGGAACTATATAAACCATTTTTTACTATAAATTTCTGAATGGGAATTATTTGCAGTCCATCTAATTGCAGTAGCAGCCTATACCGAAAACTTGTTAATACAAGTCGTGAATACGGGGAGTTATTGTGATGTCAGGATTCACCACTGCCTGCCTGTGGTGCTGGCTAAACACACGGGGGTCCAAAACCCCATGTGAGGTCAAACAGTCCAGCAGGAATC